ATCTCATCACATTTTTTATATCAACAGATTCAGAGAATTTAGAGCTCTTTAAGACTATTTTGATAACAATGTCAGTCAAAATATTCTGTATATTATCCCTTCACGGACATTTCAAGATTGCATTAACTATTTTTAGGTTTAGAATTAGATTTTAATACTTATAAGTATAACTTACAAAAAATTAATCAATTATGTAGTAATAATATCAACAGCATGTTATTCAGGAGGACTGAAGAACAAATTTTGACTTACTAAAAAAAGTGGTTAATATCTATCAACTTTATAGAATTTCCAAAATGTAAAATATGAAATCGAAAAAAAAGATCATCTTAATGTCAGTTTATTATATATGAAGACTTTGAATAGGGTTTTATATGAAATAAGTGAAATCTTTTTTTTTAACATTTCTCTAATTGTGTATCTTTGTCGTTTACAATTATCATCATTTAATGTACTTCAAGAAATTGACGAAACAAAATATGGACCTTGTATATTGATAGTTTTCTTTATAAAAACCTCGAATCCATGTATAGGAACAATAAAAATAATTTTTATGGGTTTCATTCGCCTACAGCCATTCCGGGATTAAAGATTGTGATTTTCCGCGAGTAGGAGGAGGGGGTAGTGAGTTCGATCCCTCATCCGATGGAAACCGAAAAACTTTACCATTAGGCGGATTTTGTTATTTCATTTTGACCCGTTTTTTTTAATTTTTTTGTATGTGTAGTCTTTTTGTATCGTATTATATGAATATCTTTATTTGTATATAATACTTATTTATGTACGCATGTATGTTAACTCAAGCTGCCAAAATTAAACTTTTACTGGTTATTTTATATTTCCTTTATTTAAAAGCCCCGTAATTTGTAAACCGTGTAATCGTGGTCAAAACCGCGATCGGCTATATAATATGAAAAAATTACATTATAATGAACAATTGTCTTTCATTTCAATTTGATGAGACCACACCTTCATGAAAAACTACCAAAACCAAAACCTGCACCAAATATTGGACGGGCTAACAGAACTGAAAACATAAGACCACTTTCTATCGTAGGCAGGCACAAAAAGAAAATGTTACAACCATAATAAGCTCTTCATTATTTCAGATAGGAAATTTAACCTTCAGTTTCTTCATTGTTAAAAGTTTAAGTTAATACCTGACTTTTATGTATCACCACTGGTATCTATTTTTTTCATTCATCTAACATTTCCGTCTTTGGGTACTATCTCGTGATTTCGATTGTTTTTCTGTTATTTGTTTTTCTTTGTTTGAATCAAACAACTATCAAAGTTTAAGTATTTCCTACAATTGTTGAAAAATTGTGAAAGTATTTTGTAGGAAAAACAAATGTAAACATTTATTTCCGCATTAGTTGACATTTTCTGTTCTTAGTATCACGTTGTTTGATTCGGTGCGATGTAGAGCTTCACATATTGCAATGTTGCACACTAGATGTCTTCTAGTTACTTGTGTCGTTTGTTTGCTGTCTCGTCGGTATATGATGGAAACGTAATCATTTGTCAGTTTATCATGCAAGTAATCAGTCTCAGAGTAACAATTCTGTTGTATTTTATAGAGCACTCTTGTGAATGTCGGTTGTCGTTCGGTATATTTAAGGCAATTCTAAGATAATTGAGCTAGTCAAAAAATTAAACAATCTTCATAATAAAGAAATATATTTAAAATCTGTACCAGATTATGCCCCACATTAAGAACTTTTGTCTGTTTTCTACATCTTTTATAAAAAATGAGGGAAAGTCATGCATCTTTATATATCAATTCTCTGGTCTTCCAAAGCAAACAGTTTATTATTTACTACCATTATCCCCATAACCAGTCATAAAGTGTTTACTATACCAAAAACCAGAATTTTCAAAGAAATCCAAATACCCCGGCCTCGAGCAATAGTTGATATCTCAGGGACAACAAACGTGCTATTGCCCTCATAACCAGTCAATAAGTGTATAATATTTCACCTTTTATATCAAAAGTAATGAAAAATAAATGCCAAATTACTATTTCTCAAACAGTTTTTCTTTACTTCATAGTGGGGATGATCACAAACGTATGTATATGCTTAACAGGTTTTGGTAAAAAAAACCACGAAATACAAATTCACTCAAAGCATGTTATATTAAGCCAAGGGTGGTCATTTAACATCAAATAACACTTATTATCAATGTTCCGAAATTCTCGAAATTGCCATGATCAATGCTTTTTTTTTTCTCGTTTTTTTAAAGGTAAAATAGATGACGTAATCGTGATAAAATTAGACGACGTAAAATACTACTGTTTTAGTGATACCAATCTCAAATGGGAAGCACTTTTTTATAAGAATGATCTCTGTAAACTACAGTCCTAACTTTAATTTTTTTTATCTGTAGAATTGAATGGGACAGTGAAATTTCCACAAAAGCCTAGATTTTTCAATAAATCTTACATTAATGCATTTGTTTGCTGCTTAACACAATTGTTTTGAATTTATACCTATCTCAAACTAATCAGGGTATATAATACTTAATATCTAATGTTTTCTCATATTTAGATTTCTGCATTTAAATAGCTAATGGTCTTAAGTGCGATGAGTTTGTTAAAATATGACCGCAAATTCAGAACGTTAACAATACAAACGTAACAATTGATCATCAAAATCGGCTTTTGTGTGCTCTTTTGTCGTAAAACTACAGTGGACGATTACTCTGTAGAATATTGGCTTCCGCTATATATAATTTTTAATGGATTGGTTTGGAGGAAAAGTTATATGTTTTTAGTATCAGGAAAAAAGGATTTGCCAAAATCACACTGTCATATATAACTTCGGTAACGTCAGAATCCCACAGAGTCCCTACACAAGACTGGTACTAAAACAAAAATAACTAACAAAAAACGACTTATTTTTTGCAACAAAATGATTAAGATTTATGATCACCCCCAAGCTGTCGATTGCTTATTCTAAATGTTAACTGCACCTCTTTATTTTAATTAGTGAAATGACATATACAACAAACAAGTACAAATAAAAATGCAGAATACAATCCTATTAAAGGTAAGTAATTTCGTTCTGTTGACAAGGCGAAAAAACGAAATTTGCTGGAATTATTATTTCAAAATTGCAAAATTACTACATTAAAATCACATACTAATATTTAGTCATTTGAATATTTTATTTCTTTACTTGGACTGGTTTATAATCAGGAAATGATATCAAGTGATTTTTTATGTTTCATAAATGTATTCTTTCTTTCAATGTTAAATTGACAAGTAGTGCAAAGAAGTTTCATATAATTTTTGGAAAAAAAGGGTGTGTCGGAATGAATAATTGACCAGAAAGAATATATCCCATGTTGTCTATGGTGATCTCTACCACCATGTGCTTATTTAAACCCTGTTGTAAATATACATTGTTAAACATTTTATAATGAACTTTTCTGTAAATAAATTTGTTAAGTACTATAAGTGATTTTACACGGAAATCAGACAGGAGTAGGTTGAAATGCATTTAGTGAATGAAATCCGTTTTAAATCAAAAGACTATTATTGTATTAAGAAGAGTTACATTGTAATATATTCTTATCTCACAAAATCAAATTCTGTCTGTCACCCACTCAGATTGTAGCTGTCATAAGGTAAATATTACGTCTTCAAATAAATTCATTTCACTTTTTGCAAGTCCATGAGAACATTTATTTTCTATTTTGTGCCAATCATTTCCTACAAATGGCTGAATTAAATATTCGAAATAATTTTATTTTCGTCTTGACTTTAGCAAGATTATTCTTTTGTAGTTATTATTAAACCATGTTATTCATTTTCAATTACCTCCTCACCCCACACCCTTCAACCCATCGTAAACATCAAATAGTCATCCTCGAAACTAGTCCTAGTAATTTCCATTGAGAAACGGAGAATTTACCATTTGTTTCAATGAACAGATCGGGAAGAAATATGAAATACAAATTTTAAATGTGATGCAGTAAAAAAAAATTGTAAATTCTATTAAACACTATGAAGGATGTCTTGGCTAACAAATAAAATACAACTAAAATGATCACATTCACTGAAAAATTTGTAAACAGGTTAAACTAAAATTATTCAAAGTATGGGAAAAAAAAGAAAGTAAGTTGTGTTGAAAAATGTCGCCTTGGACTTCATCTGTCCGACATGTCGCCTTGGGCTTCATCTGTCCGACATGTCGCCTTGGTCTTCATCTGTCCGACATTCAGACGCCTTGGACTTCACCTGTCCGACATTCAGACACTTGAATGAGGTCTGGTGTGCCTTTAGTCTTGTGAATGTATAAATACCTAGCCATATCATGTCAGACATGAAACTGGGAGAATAATTCGTACATAATAATTTCCAGTGCATACTGTATATAATTTATAAAGAATAGAGAAAAAGGTCTTAAAAAATAAAGAATAGCGAAAAGGGACTTAAAAAGAATAGGGAATTGAATGACCACTCATCCAGATTCTTTTAACAAGCATAAAGAGACTGTCCAAAATATAATACAATACATAAAATACCCATATACAGATAAAAAAAGAGAATATCTAGATAATAGAACAAATGCCAACAAGTTGATATAACAGGATAAAGGGACTTTCTAAACAATAATACAGTACCATCCAGAAACTAAACAAACAGACAGTCCCAGGAATAATTCAGTCCATCCCCAACTATTACAAGGATAAAGAGACTATCTAAGAACTAAAGACAATAAAACAGACTGTCTCAACATTTCTAATGTAGAACAAGGACTGGTTATCTGTTATCGTTTCCTTGTAATATCTACAACTTGACATTACGCATAAATTGATAAAATATTTTGAACAATCTCTAATTTGTACCGAAATGATGTATATTTTTAAAGGTTTTGTATTATAAATAATTAGTTTTGCTTTCTGTAAAGTTGAAAGTCGGATTGCAAATTGTCTTTGTTTACTGTACAATTGAAATACATGTATAATGCGTAAAGAAAAGATAGAGCAATGTATAATGTTTGAGTCATTCAACTTTAATTTTTATGTATTTCATTATAAGAAATTTCTTTTTGTTCACGTCTTTTGAACTGCAGACTGGTGACCTGTTGTACAAAATGACACTACCACGAAACCTTATGGTTTGGTTGCTGAAAGAAATGAAAAAAAAATAAAATTCTTTACAAAGGATATTGTTGTTTGTTTTCATCACTCTACATGATCACTGATCAACAATGGTAATAAGTATACAAAATATTTTGTTTTAATTTGCACTAATCAATACAATTACGACAAGGACACATTTTTCGGGTAATATCACTGATGTTATCCTTTGATATGCATGGTTGATAATATAATCCATGCGTCTATATTTAAGATGTATCCGCACATGATGTCGTCTTTATCTTAAATACATTTTATATTTGTCTAATAGGAAGATCAAGGGCTTGTATATCAATGACGAACTTAAAAGATTGTTATCACTTAGTCTTATGCATTGCTACAGGCCTTAAATTAAAAAAAATAAACATTAAAACATTAATTCACTCTTTTAAAAGATGTCATTTGACAAGATATGTTATGGAAATAAAGAAATAACTTCAATACATAAACTGTTAAAAAAAAACACTTTTTCACATTTTTTCCCCCATTGTGAACAAACATATTCCTCCTACTTGTTCGTTACCAATGCCCCTGAATACAAAAACAATCAATCGAAGCATGTACATTTAAATCGTGGCACGTTCTGTAAACAAAAGGTAACAGTCCGAGACAGGGACTACCCCTATCCTCCTCTTCCTAACAGGTCAACGTAAAAAAGACTTGTTATATCTATTTGCATTTCCTTGTGTTTGGTAGTAGGCTTAGCTTACAACTGCAATTGTTTCTTCTTTTTTAAAAGAAACATTTTCTTGCATTTCTCACACACTAACTGTTTACATAATATTTTTTTTTTAATTATCCCTCTCCAAGAAAAGTACATGTATGTTATGCCAACTTTGAGTATATAGTACGTGCTATATACAGAAAAGCATTGTTGATAAAAATTATATGAAGAAAACTATGCAGAGGTAGTATTTCTTGTTTCGGATCTCGGTTTTTAGTGGTTTTGGCTTCTTTCTTTCCAAACAGAAAAGATGACTAGCTATGCATATCACAATAAATCAATAAATATAATTCATTCTACGTAAAATGTACAAGCTATCAAGGGATCTAGAACAAAATCGATATTGTTCATCAATGAGATTTGTGATTTAGAACAGGCAGAAGAAATCTCAATATGTGTGTTTATGTAAACTAAATCCTCAGTATATCTAAACTCCTCAATTTACAGGATATGTTGGACCAATATATGTGAGTTTCATCATATCAAGTTTGGGAGCAATTCTATCAATTGCACGTTAACATCTGTAGATCATATAGTTTGTTTTAGTTTTGACATTAATCTGGAAGATAGAAGCCTTATATCCTTTATTAGAAAGATGGTAATTGGTATTGAGGTCACCCCCTTTTTTCAGTGGGGTTCGTTTTGCTCAGTCTTTTGTTTTCTATGTTGTGTTTTGTAGAATATTGTCTCCTGGTCGTATTTCGTTTTTTGTCATGGTGGTGTCAGTTTGTCTTTTACTTCGTCCGTACTTTTAACTTACTGAGTTCGAATGCCCTTTTGGTTTTATCTGGCTCTCTTTGATTCTGCGATAGCATCGATTTATTTGCCTATTAACTATTGTATTGTCTGTATATCGTGTACAAATAACTGGAACAATGTTACAGTATAAATATTGTTAGTGTGTATTTATATTGTAAAAGATATACGATTCAATATTCTTTTCTCAATTTGTATGTTTCTTATGTCACTTGTGGGTTCATAACCAAACCATGACCAATTACGAGTCCTTTTTGAATGATTTTTTCGGGTCGACACGAGGTCAATCGTCGTAACTGACATCGTTTAACAATCGAAACTTACAATGTTGCAATATAAACATACGCAATGTGACAACGTGAATGTACGGGAAAATGCACGAATTTGAAAGTCTTTATCTGGTAATAAAGGATTTTGTTGTTGTTGTTTACTTACCGCTACAAATAGAATAGTCACAAATTGGACAGAAATCCATGTCATATGACTGACAATCTGAAGGACATGTGGAACCATCATACGGGGGACAGCCTGATGAAACAACAAAAACATTATATTCGTTAGAGATATAAACGACGTTTCGCTATTCTAACATAATCGCAGTTCATTTCACTTTATATTATGATATTTTGCTGTTCCATGTTCAAAATTGAAAAAAAGACTAAAAGTCTTGTCGAGAGTTATCTCGTTGGCAATCATACCACATCTTCTTATTCTTATAAAAGTAGTTTTCTGCATATGATTAGTAAATATGTATTTATATATTTAATTTGCATTACAAATACTAGTGTGATTTCCCTCCATTTTATATTTCATCCTACCTTTGAAATGTAATACAGATTTCATCATTATAAGATTTGCAGACCTAAATTCTAAGAATAATGGTGCGCTCAAAAATACAAATATTACTTTATATTTGGTGAATCCGACGTGCATTCTAGATTTATCTTCGTTAGCAATGCTCAAAAGCCAAAAATTTAAAAGTCAAGAATGTGTAAATACTATAGGAGTTACATGACCAAAATACTCTGAGGCGAAGCCGAGGGGTGCACAGGGATACTGAATTATATCGGCCGTTCAGTTGATAAGTAAGGCAATAATCTATATCGATCTTTTTGATAAAATCCCAGCAAATCATATATTTTTTTTCGATTTAGATCGCCTACATTTCAGCTCATATGGTATACATCTCTTCCTTTCCAAATAATCCGATCTTTCCTCGTAGAATCAAATCCAGAGAGACACAGCGAACTAAGCTTAATCAGTAGGTTACAATTTTTAACTTATGACCTTCAATATAAATACTTCAAGTATAGGACACGGTTAAGTATCAACACATCCGTCTAGAAGGTGCAAATTTAACTTATTATTAACATTTCTTTTATTACAATAAATAGAATGCGTCATTCTATCATATCTTTTTTATTTATTATTTTTCCTTTGTGTTTACTAGTTCTAACGTTAGTTAATTTTGACAAAAAGTGTCTTTAATATTGGTATTTTTATTTAAAATATTTCTAAACATATTTTTCAAAAACCAATTTATATACTGACCTGGCGTTGTTGTTTTTATGATAATGTTTATCATAGGTGTTGTAACTTTATTTTTGACTACTCCGTCAGTATTTGTAACAACTGTAGGTGGCGTTGGTCCAGCGGTTTTTCCAGGCATTGTCGGTGGTGTCGGTCCAGCAGTACTTGCTGGTATTGTAGGTGGCGTAGGTCCAGCACGTGTTGTTTGAGCATGCGTAGTTGGGGGTATGGTTGGAGGAGTTGGTCCTGGACGATGTGTTTTCACCATTTTATGTGTTGTAGATAGCGCCTTGGTTGTTGGTGGTATGGTTGGTGGGGTTGGTCCTGGGCGGTGCGTTTTTACTATTTTATGAATTGTAGTTGGAGCAGTAGTTGTAGGAGGAATAGTAGGTGGTGTTGGACCAGGGCGGTGAGTTTTATGAATTTTATGAACGGCTGTTGTTTGTTTTGGTGTTGTGGTTGTTGGTTTGGTAGTCGTGGGTTTTGGCCTCTGGGTTGTGATTATTTTCTGTACAGGCCTGGTCCGGTGGTTATGATGATGGTGGGGTTTAGGTGTAAGTTTATGAGTCGTTGCAGGCTTTGAAGTAGTTGTTGGCTTTTGGGTCGTAGTCGGTTTTGGTGTAGTTGTTGGCTTTTGGGTCGTAGTCGGTTTTGGTGTAGTTGTAGGCTTTTTGGTCGTAGTCGGTTTTAGTGTAGTTGTTGGCTTTTGGGTCGTAGTCGGTTTTGGTGTGGTTGTAGGCTTTTGGGTCGTAGTAGGTTTTAATGTAGTCGTTGTCATACGTTTAGTAGTATGCATTTTTACAGCTGACGTTGACGCTTGAGCACTGCTTGATGATTGTTTATTTGAATTGTTACTATTGTTAGCTGTATTTGAACTTTGGTTGGTATTTTGACTAGATGTACTATTCTTTGAAGATGAATTTTGATTTAAACTATTTGAATTAGAATTTTCGTTCTGTGTTGTTTGTTTGTTGTTAGTTGACATTTGATTTGCTGTATTGCTAGTATTTGTATTTGTTGCCGTAGAGTTTTTGTTAGATGAGTTACTGTTATTTGCTGAATTCAAAGTGCTTGTGTTTGCGGAAGAATTACTTCCAGCTGTACTGTTTTTGCCAGAACTGTTGTTGCTTTGGTTGCCAGGATTAGAATTTGTATTTTTGGCTCCACTATTGTTAGTGTTTGATTGCGAAGCATTGTTGCTGCTACCGGAATTATTAGCTGACGAATTGAGTTTACCAGAGTTATTAGAATTAGACTGCGTAGTACTGTTGCTACTATTTGAATTATTATTGGAAGAAGTTTGCTTTCCAGAGTTATTTCCCTTATTTCCGTTGTTGTTTAGACTGTTGTTAGTAGTACTGCTGTGTGTTTCAGTGTGAGTGCTAGTATGTGTACTGGTGTTGTCTCCCCCCTTTCCACCATGACCATTCGTACCATTAGTATTTGTACTGCTGCTAGAAGAACTAGTACTACTACTACTGCTGCTTGAACTACTGCTGGAGCTACTTGAACTAGAAGAATTTTTACCTCCGTGACCCCCTGCACCACCAGTGTGTGTCTCTGTGTGTGAATTACTTGTATGTGTCTCCGTATGTGTTGTTCCCCCATTAGAACCATTTGTATTCCCTTTGGTGCCATTATGACCACTGGTTCCATTATTATTAGTAGTAATACTAGTTTGACTACCATTTTGGTCGGTATGAGCGACAGTTTGTGTACTGTTGTTTCCATTACCACCATTTCCACCAATGTGTTTTCCACCGCTGGTATGGGTTTCAGTATGTGAACTGCTGGTATTGGTCTCTGTATGAGTTGTTGTTCCATTATTTCCATTACCATTCGTAGAACCGGAAGTTCCGCCATTATTCGAAGAAGAGCTGGAAGAACTATGACTCTCAGAATGCGAACTGCTGGATTGAGAAGATGAATTCCCATTGTCACCAATTCCGCCAGATCCAGTGTTAGAAGATGAACTATTATTGCTGCTTGTATTGGCCATGTTCGCTTTAGAGTTACTTTGGTTTTGCTTGTTTCCATTGTCATAAGTATTCATGTCTTTTGTCGTGTGTTGCGTATGTGCTTTTGTTGTTGCTTGCATTGTCGTCGTCGGCATTGTTGTTTTAACAGTTGTTGTTGTAACAGTCGTCATCGGTACTGTTGTTGTAACAGTCGTCGTCGGTACTGTTGTTGTCTTCGTCGTTGTGGGCACAGTGGTAGTTTCTGTCGTCGTTGGCAATTCTGTTGTCGGTACAATTGTCGTCGTTTGATTATTTTCTCTACCTTCAAAAATATAACAAATCCAATAAATACGATACTAACATTAATATTTATAAAACACAATTATTCAATTATTTATTCGGTTATCTATCTTTTTATATGATATTAGATTTGTCTTGCTATTTATTAATTTACTTATCTTTCTTTTCATTGATTTATTCATATCTATACAATTATCTATCTTTAGGTATTTTTATCCATTTAGCTTATTATTTTTTCATCTATTTATCTTTCCAATATTCATTTATTGTCTTTCTATTTATTCATTTTTTGTCTTTCTATTTATTCATTTTTTGTCTTTCTATTTATTCATTTTTTGTCTTTCTATTTATTCATTTTTTGTCTTTCTATTTATTGATTTTTTGTCTTTATTAATCTACGTATCTTTATTGTACCGTTTGTTCATTTATTTATTTGTTATACTTATTATAATTCGTTTATTTTTTTTCAATTTATTCAGTTGTTTATCTTTCTATTTATCCATAAATTTATCTGTCTAATTATTCCTTTTTTTATATTTATTTATTTATTTATCATTCTATCTAAACATCTCTCAATTCTTTAAAATTCATTTATGTTTTTATTTTTACATTTTGTTATTTATGATCCTCCTCATGGTGTTTTTGATTATGTGATTACATGGCCGTTTTTACAGTGATTATTTGATTACCAGACCAAATATTTCCTGATTATTTGATAATCTAGGACTGTATTTTGCATTATTTGATTATCTTGTTTAAAAAATAATTAATGATTATGTGATTATATTGGCAAAAAGTTTGTGATTATGTGATTACTTGGCACCCCCATGAGGGGCCTCATTTATTCTATTTATCAAATTACTTCATCAGCAGAAATTATTCTGTTTTATAACAATAGGTAATACAGACAAAGATGTATTGTCTAACGTCTGAAGAAAAGAACCGCACGTCTTGTACTATTGTGGCATAAATGGCTATATATGACAATTTATTACTCCAAAGGCTTTAATTACAAACATATTATTTTTTACATCAATGCAAATCATCATGTTTGAAAAGATAACCTAAAAATAAGGGACATAACTCTAAAAGTCAGCCGAACGTTTGTGTCAACCATTTTCACAAATATATTTTAAGGTTTAAAGTAGTATAGATCATTTTATGTCTGTTTCACATGAATGCTTACGGGGTAACAGAACACTTAAGGGGAGTAAACTCTTTAAAAAACAGCTGAACGTTTTAATCACGTGGATGCTTAAAAACCATTGATAAAACTAACTATCAAACACATATTACTGATTCACAGAGTTATCTCCCCCTTATTTGTCAATCTGAATTACATACTCATCGATTCTTTACACTTCATGCATCCTTTAAGAGGGTCAATAGTGATGTTCATGGCTCCACATCTAAACATTGTTACTAGAGAGTTCATTTCACATGGACTATTCATCATGGATAACAATTCTAAAATGTCTGAAATGAAATGTAAACATTAAAAATTATAATTTTACAAACAAACAAAACAAGTTTATCAAAGTTTTAAATTCTTACACCATTGTACTTTACTATTTCAGTTTATTTCTTGGAGTTAAATTCCTAGTCAGTGTTTTACAATTTGATGTTTGGAAACGAAAATGATTAACTAATATATGTGTATTTATTTTACTAGATGTGTTGCTGTTATTTAAAATTTGATTGATAAAATAAAATCTGTCCTATTTGGAAACCTAGAGCTTACATTTTTCTCATTGGTGATACCGACTAGTACACTCTGCTTCGTCACTGACAAGACATTAAGGAAAAATATTTTGTCTCTAAATTTTCAAATCGTCAATTATGTTATTGTACTATAACTACCATGGTAACTACCTGTATTGATTTTGACCTCGTTCTCATTTTTTTTTTTTGGGGGGGAGGGTTCAACTTTGGATCTACGTCTACGAAAATCAAAAAGATATATTTTTCAATTGTGAGTTGACCAATGGACTTCTCAAAAATGCGTTAAATTTTGAAGCGAATCTTCTTTACAGTGTCTTTACACAGGAAATTTATTGACTTGCAATGTGAACGCGTTAATTGTTCTGACTAAAGATCAAAGATCAATATAATATCAAACGTACTATTATTATTATTGCATCCACATCCACATCCTCCTTGTGGTTTCATCAAGTGACATAATATGTTACCACATAAATCCACTTCTGAAAAAAAAGATATTTCACTGATCTTATTATCGTAATTTGATATGTTGTAATAACGGTTATATATGTAACCAATACTGATCTTTAAGTATGGTCGTTTATAAGACACTGACCTTCACTTATAGTGAGGTCATGTTTTCTTCAAATAAATTCTATAGAAAAAAGTTGTTACAGATGGGAATTAAAAAATATAGTTTTATTCTATTGAAATTTGTATGCAAAAAAATAAATACAACTTTGAAAAAAAAAAATATTGTCCCTGTATCTTATTGGTGGCTGTTGGTTTGGGGATTAATTGTTGAGAAATAATGTTTGCACCAAGACAGAATTAAAAAAACGTCCTTCTCCCCAACAAAAGATAAATGATCGATGCCTAATATTTTTTAGGGGATTGATGTGAGGTGTCATTCAGTTAAAACTGATTGCCCTCAAATCTTCTCTATAATATATCGTATATGTATATAAAGAAATTAAAGGAATCAATTCGTTTTGTCATTATGTGTTGTAAAAGTAAAAAAGTAATACAAAAACTTCTGTTCATACAAAGCATCGGGGAAAAAATGAATTTCAATGATGTAGTTTTTTTTCTAATAGTTGAATAAATTATTCATTGTAGTGCCTTTGACAAACTAGATAAATAAGAGAACGGTGGATTGTGTCGTCGAAAGTCTCCTATTAGTATCAAGTCATTTGGGCATTTGAGGAAACTGTTGAGAAACATACAGTTATGAAAACAAACGTTCGGCAATAAATCATCATTCAAAAACAAGGAAGACTAAGTATATAAACGTCTATGAAAATTGACACAGAAATTAACAACTACATGTCATCGTACGGCCTTCAACAATGAGCAAAGCCCAAAGCGCATGGTCAGCTATAAAAGGCCCCGAATTGACAAATGTAAAACAATTCAAACAAGAAAACTAACGGCCTGATTTATGTACAAAATAATGAACGAAAAACAAATATGATATACAGCAACAAACGATAACCACTGAATTACAGGCTTCTGACTTGGGACAGGCACATACATATGGTTTATTAATCAGTAAAGACAAAATTTCAATTAACCACAATACCTAATTCAAGAAAATTGTCCATTACGGATACTAGTAAATATCTATATATTTAAATGAGAAGACCTCATTTTGTGTGTCGCTTCTCTTCCTTCCACAAGAAATTAATCGTCATGCCTCTGTGTCCTATAGGTACCATGCATAGTCGCATTTGTAATCCTCGCTTATGATTATTCAGTTTGATATATTTTGGGAGGAAAACGAAAATAAAGGCGTCCGGATATTGTTTCCGTCATCAGACGGACTTTTAAGTCATAGACAAGACTTCCGTTATGGACTGTTTTAAAAGTACACATAATTGTCATAAGTACTTGGGGACAGGACAATTATATTCACGTTTTTCTGTATACTATGATCATACATGTACTATAAATAAAGTGTATTTGCTATTTACTATCAATTCCAAGTTTACTATATACGGCGGTCACTGATATATTATATAGATGGCGTGGATAGTAAATTTGGAATTGATAGTAAATATCAAATACACTCTTTTTATAGTTTATGTATGTTCATAGTACACAGAAAACGCAAAAATAATTGAAATTAACAGAAACAAAATAATGGACTTTGGAAAAAAGGGGGAGGGCTAAAACAAATTGTCCTGTCCCAAGGTGCCCAAAGTAACTTTTGATACCTTTCCTGAAATTCTCCAGTCATAAAATCTTTTACAAAAATTCATCCTACAACAGTTTACATACTTTCAACCACGCTCTTAATGCCCGCGATTTCGCGGGTGTGTTCTAGTATCACTAAAGATAAGTGAACAGATCGTCTTGAACCACAAAAACTGATTAGAGAAAAATATCCTTCACCAATACTTCAAAATCTATCGGTAAAGATAAGTGGACCTCAGAAATTGATTAAAATTAAATGACCATCACGAATACAAGAAAATCTATCGGTAGAGATAAGTGGACAATTTGTCTTGGACCTCAGAAACTGATAAGAACAAAACATCCATCTCGAAAAGCGACAAATGTGAAGTGGAAAGTTTAAGTTTTACCACCAAATAAATGTTCAAAAGAATAAAATAAAATAGACTGACGTTTTACTGGACAGTTAGTCACAGATACGTAGAGATAACTTTATCTATATCGTTTACCACCTGCCTCTGTGTTTTCCTTATGTACATGTAAACTAAAATTTACAATATATGATGAACATTTTATGTTATGTGTTAGAAATGTAGAGTTTTGTAACAATTGCTATGATAGACAGTGACAAAAAAATAAGAAAAATCCTGGACCTTTAACATCGCATCCAAAAAAACAGAAATTGGATTTGGAATAGTAAATTTATTTCGAATATTCAGATAATTAATCTTTGAATGATATTCTAAATTATAAACTGGGAACACATTGGTTGTAATAAAAAGATTTGCAATACTACATCTGCAATCACGGTCCTATGACAGCAGGAAGCAACTATCATTTAACAAAGTTCTTGTTGTTTGTAAAAACATTAGTGATTTGATATGTTCATTAAATATATAAGTGTGTTTTTATCAAACGATTTTAATTTATATGTTCATTAAACGCTATTTATTTAAGAATTGAAATTTCTTTTTGTTATTGTATTTGGTGTAAAAGTGTTGACCGAAGCACTACAATGTGCGGACAATCAACGATTTTGTAACTCGATACAATTACAAAAAGAAGCATTCAATTCTTACACATGTTTTTTTTTGTAAGTAGAAGTTTATGCTACAACCACACCGTGAAATTACGAGTTTTTCAGCCGACTAATAGCCCGGATTCTTATGAAACATATATGTAATATGTAATGTAATTATATATATATTCATTAAAAGATATGTAATATAAATCTTACTTGAACAAATATAACAAAGCAAAACATTTATTTAGACCGTATATATATCTTAAACAAATGTTTTGCATTAGGACACATTAACGGCCCTAGTAAACAGCTGGCATTGGGACATATCATCCGTTCCTTGAAAACAGCTTGCATTCGGACACATCAACCATATCTGAAAATAACTTGCATTGGGACACATCATCCTTTCCTGAAAACAGCTTGCATTGGGACACATCACCCGTTCCTAAAACTATCTTGCAGTGGGGCACATTATCCGTTCCTGAAAACAGCTTGCATTGGGACACATTACCATTCAATGAAAACAGCTGGCAATAAGATACATCACTCGTTCCTGAGAACAGCTTGCATTAGGGCACATCACCCGTTCCTGAAAACAGCTTGCATTGGGACACATCACCATTCAATGAAAACAGCTGGCAATGAGACACATCACTCGTTCCTGAGAACAGCTTGCATTAGGACAAATCACCCGTTCCTTGAAAACCGCTTCAAATTGAACACATCAACCGTCCCGGAAAACAGCTTGTATTGGGCCACATAACCCGCTCCTGAAAACAGATTCAAATCGAAAACATCAACCGTCCCGGTAAACAGCTTGCATAGTGACACACCGTCCGCTCCAAAAAACAGCTTGCATTGGGGTACATCATCCGTTCTTGAAAACTGCTTGCATTGGGCCACATCACCCTTCCATGAAAACAGCTTGCAATGAGACACATCACTCGTTCCTGAAATCAGCTTGCATTGGGACACATAACCTGCTCCCAAAAACAGCTTCAATGGGGCACATTATCCGTTCCATGAAAACAGCTTGCATTGGGACACATTACTCGTTCCTGAAATCAGCTTGCATTGGGACACATCACCCGGTCCTAAAAACAACTTGCATTGGAACACATCACCCGGCCCTGAAAACAGCTTGCATTGGGACAAATCACCCGATTGTGAAAACAGCTTGCATTGGGACACATCACCCTTCCATGAAAACAGCTTGCAATGAGACACATCACTCGTTCCTGAAATCAGCTTGCATTGGGACACATAACCTGCTCCCAAAAACAGCTTCAATGGGGCACATTATCCGTTCCATGAAAACAGCTTGCATTGGGACACATTACTCGTTCCTGAAGTCAGCTTGCATTGGACACATCACCCGGTCCTAAACACAACTTACATTGGAACACATCACCCGGTCCTGAAAACAGCTTGCATTGGGACACATCACCCGATTCTGAAAACAGCTTGCATTGGGACACATCACCCGTTTCTGAAAACAGCTTGCAGTGTGATGCATCAACAGTTTCTGAAAACAGCTTGCAATGAGACACATCACTCGTTCCTGAAATCAGCTTGAATTGGGACACATAACCTTCTCCCAAAAACAGCTTCAATTTTGGCACATTATCCGTTCCATGAAAACAGCTGGAATTGGGACACATTACTCGTTCCTGAAGTCAGCTTGCATTGGACACATCACCCGGTCCTAAAAACAACTTACATTGGAACACATCACCCGGTCCTGAAAACAGCTTGCATTGGGACACATCACCCGATTCTGAAAACAGCTTGCATTGGGACACATCACCCGTTTCTGAAAACAGCTTGCAGTGTGATGCATCAACAGTTTCTGAAAACAGCTAGCAGTGGGACACATCACCCGTTCAATTTGTGTCGTAGGTTTGACATGTTAGCTATGAGATCGAACCAATAAGCATATATAAGTAAGGGTGCAAATTCCCTCCTCTGAGACCACCGAGACGGTTTTAAAATTATAATTTTCAATTACAGGAGTGAAAATGTATGTGATGATCGTAAAACAAACAAAGAATTTTTTCAACGTAATTATTTCTACCATGAAATAGTTTCTAAAAAATCATAAAGAGCAAGTACATCCTATCTAAAATTAGAGAAATTATGACTAGATCATTATTCTGCCCCTGAAATTGCAAAAATTGCGTAAATTTACAATCCTTTCAAAATATGTTAATTCAATGTATAAATGAACAGCATAATGCTTCTTTCCAATTTCTCCTAATACGTAAGAAATTTGAAATAAAGTTAAAAACAAAAATGAATTCTTATATCTGACAGATTATAATTATCTTATGAACATTTGAAGGATGTTATTTGGTTGATTTTTAATACTTTTTGATTCAAGGAGTAATAAAGGTTGAACCTTATGATTTACAAATGATCCTAAGAAACAACTTATGAATGCTCTTCAACTTTGTACTGTTTTTGGTTCGAGCTTCACTGGTGAGTCTTTTATAAAGCCCACAACTATGACGAATTTATTTATGATTGATTAAAACAAAATAAAAAATAAATACCACAAATGTAGTTAAAAAGTCTTCTATAAGTGTCTGCTTGAAGAGACGTCGAACGAAAACATACGAAAGTTCTTTTTTTTTCATTTTGAAAAAATTGCATTGCAGAACCCTGGTTATAAACGAAGCATCTGTCGTTTTTTTAATGAAACAAATGTAAATTGTCTCCATACGCATATGGAAAAGTGTATTGAAAAGTTCAAACTATTTAAGCAGTTCTTAGATTAAATTATAACATAAATTTTTCAACATTTTAATGGGAAGTTCTTGCTTTATCGAAATTGCTTAATTTCAACCTTTACAGTGTTCATTGCTTTTTCTTTCTTCTTCTATTCTTTTTTTTAATTTTTTTTTACAGTACCAATGTATTGCTCATTTGTTATAGAATCTTTTTATAGAAATTTTCATTCTAAAATCAATTATGTTACCCAATTTACTTTTTCGAAATATGAATGCAGTTATGCTATCCATGATCTCTATTTAAAGGTGATTTCTTCCTTACCTTGCACTAACAATCCCGAAAAGAGAACAATTGCCAAAATCAACTTCATTGTTTCGATTTTTTGCAAAAAACTGGTCTCTTGGAGGTCCAAATATCACTTGACTTTTGAACCGTTAACGTTTCTGTCTCTATAAATATATCTCAAAAGTTGACCGCAATGTCGTAACGTTCAGCAGGTGTCTGTAAAGATACAGGGGTGTATCTCTGTGTTATCAATAAGTACTTATGCAGTACTTTTGTGTACTTTTATTGTTAAAGACGTCAGGGTTAGTTTGAAGGTGACCAAGGACAAAAAATACTACTTGACCTCAGAACAGTAAGCGATAAGGTACCGACAATTCATCTTTTGTGAAGGGGTATGGTTTTTCTCTCGGGTCAATTAATGAACGCTAATATTGAAATTATCTTTTCCATAATTTTCACACAGGCGATTGGGGGCATGGGTCGTCTTATTCATTTCCCTTCATTTTTCACATCTTTTTAATAAAATATTTGTTTATTATAATGTTATTCGCTTCTTGAAAATAAGAAATTAGGGGTAGCGTATATCAACAATTTTTATTGTAATATCGTCAAAGCAAAAATAACTAAATAAATTAAAGTACTAATGTGTATTAACTCAAAATGTATAACCTCCCCCCCCCCCCCCTAACCCCCAACCCCACCCCCACCCCACCCCTGCCAACACCCCAAAATAGAGGGTATATGCCTAGAGCACATAGCATAGAATTTTCAATGGAAAGGTTTTTTTCACTTCCTTTCTGAGACAAAATATTTTTTGAAGAAAATTAGTAGTAAATAAATTGAAAACCAAACTTACAAAAACGTACACACAAAGACAAAAAAAAATAACACATGTCCCAGATAGTCATTCTTGGTACAGGCACATAATGTGGTGAAAGAAAAATCCCCCTTTGCTAATCTTGCCTAAATGTCGTACAAGTAAAACATACAGTAAAACACCTGCTCAGTGCAGCTACCTAACAAAGAAAGCATCATTGTGTTGATTCTGAAATGGCCAAGTATGACTTGTAGTATATTAACCTTGATGTTTTATGGTCACTACTTGCAACATCAAATGTGCTTTGCTCAGTGATCACAATCTTTTATTTATGTAAAACGAAAAAAAGGCTAGTGGCTGAAATGAAGACCATCTTAAGCTACATGTATAGTACATGTCGAAAGCGCATATAATACAATATTTTCTCCCTTTCTTTAATAAATATACATGTAGTTATCCCGATAGAGCTACATGTATTTTTGTTTTGTGTTGTCCCTAACACTTACATTATTCATGTTTCCCTATTTATACAATTTTTGGATGCATGTACCACAATTGATCACAAAGTTACTAGGGTGATAACATAGGGAAGGTCTAAAACGCGGAAGTGGGACAACGCGGAAGTGCAAAATTGATATATTATAAGTGATTTCTCTGGAACTGCTTAAGATAAATTAACAATTGAAATGGATTTTGAAAGCTTATATGATATTCTATAAGTAAAAATAAAACATTAATTAACATTGATATTCATTATTACCAAAAAGTTGACCGGAAGCCATACTAAGCGTGACTGTGTCATTCCAATTCCGAACCACCAGGTCGGAGCAAGAAAAAAGGAAAAAGAACAACAGCAGATCCATCATTACAACAATAGGTCCATGAAGTCCGCAATATCCACCCAGATAGCCGGACACTAAAACCCAACATCAATAGAAAAACGTTCATCTTTATTATTAAAAGTTATTTAGACTAGTGCTACCTCAAAATTTTGATATTATAATAAATAATAAATTTGTGTACTTTGTGTATATAATTTTGTATATATTTTCAGTGCTCTTATCATATACATGTAGTTTTTATAATTATATATGACTTTTCCTAAATTATTTTTAAATAGTATTTGTTTCATCCTTTTCATATATTTCTTAGTGCTCAATTTGTAATGGTCATGGCTAAACGTGTTTTAATTGCAGGTCATTCCCAAGTTATATATTTTGATCAGTATTTAAAGTTGTCTAATGTAGATGTTGTGTCTTTTTCAGGGTATCGCATAGAACAGATGTTGGGTGTCAAAGGGCATATGGAACCCGACTACAGGATTGTTGTTCTTCATATTGGACCCAACAACTTGTGGAATGACACCCCAGCTGATGTTCTGACTCATTACCAGAGTCTGGTTGAGAATATACTTAGACTCAACCCAACTTGCCAGATGCTGCTTTCCGGGATACTGCCTCGTGGTCAGGACATGTTCCCTGGTAAGATGAAGTCCGAGAGCTTTCTCTCTTTGGTCAACAGGAAGGCGTCTTACATCAACAACAAGTTGCGCAGCATAGTTCAGTCTGTCCCCAGACTGACCTATGTTGGACATCACTCCTTTGTTGTTGATGGTAAGCTTCAGCGCCTCCTGTTGAGTAAAAACGGTCTTCATCTTACCAGGGATCTGTGTTTTTGATTGGTGTATTTCTGCTTTGTATCGATCTGATGAGTAAGCCCTTTTCAACTGATTTTTATAGTTTTTTTTATGTTGTACTGTTACACCACTGTTCCAGGTTAGGGGAGGGTTGGCCCGTCTTCAAACAAGTTTTGACCCCGCCACATTATGTATGTGCCTGCCCCAAGTCAGGAGCCTGTAATTCAGTGGTTGTCGTTTATTGCAGTTTCTCATATTTGTTTTTCGTTTATTGTTTTGTATAGTTTGTTCTTGTATTGTGCCGTTGCACAACTTTCCCAGGTAAAGGGGAAGATTTGGCGCGAACAAACTAGTTTAACCCCGCAACATTCAGTATGTGACTGTCCTGTCAGGAGCCTGTAATTCAGTGGTTGTCGTTTGTTGCTGTATATCATATTTGTTTTTCGTTCATTATTTTGTACATAAATCAGGCTGTTAGTTTTCTCGTTTGAATTGTTTTACATTTGTTATTTGACCTATAGTTGTTAATTTCTGTGTCATTTGGTCTCTTGTGGAGAGCTGTCTCATTGACAATCATACTACATCTTCTTATTTCATGCAACAGAAAATGTCTCATTCGATAGCACGTTATTTAACACTTAAATTATATGAGAGTTTTGTAAATTCCAGTTTAAGCTTCGGAACACTGTTCTGCATGTTTGCTAGTTTTGACGAAATGATGTATTCAAGTCAGGACACAAAATCACTACGCGCACTAAAAAACACTAAAGCAACGGAGCGGCGCTTTAATTGCTGTTTCATATCTCAAATTTCAAGTGAACTCTTTTAAGTGTATTTGTCTTATGTCGATGGTGTCTTAGAGTTGAGGCTGTTGAATGTTCAAGTCGTTTCGCTTATCTTCGCTTTTTCCGAGCATCTGGCGTACCAAATTATAAGCCTGGTATCTTTGATTAGTTTTTACATCATTTTGGTCGATGCCACTGCTGGTGGACGTTACGTTCCCGAGTGCATATCACCAGCCCAGGAGTCAGCACTTTTTTGCTGACATTAATTATAATTGGTATTTTTATTTTCTGTAAATATCCTGTTCTTATAATGTTGAAATATATAAAACACTAAGGTTTTCTTCACCCCATGTAAAGATTGCTGTAGCCTTATTTGGCACACACTTTTCGAATTTTCGGTTATCAATACTCTTCAGCTTGTTTTTGATTTGGCTTTTCAATTTTTTTGATTCGAGCAACACTAATGTGACTGGTGTAAAAGAAACGCGTGCCTGCCTTCCCAAATTATAAGTTTCATATCTTGGTTTTTTTATTTTTTCTTCCCCGTACAATTGTTTAATGAAAACGTACAATTGGCACTAATTGCGCCCCTTTAATAGCAGACTTGTTTTTGTACTGTTACGAATCACAGTTTATGACCAAACTCAGAAAAGACCCGTCTAAATTGCATTTAATTGATAAATTCAACAACACTTATCGTTATCTTGATGATATTTTTTCGTTAAATAATCAAGAATTTTCTCAACAAACTGCCGAAATTTACCCAAAGGAACTTACTTTAAATAAATCATATTTAAACGGTAACAACTGTCCTTTCCTAGATTTAGATATTTCGGTTTTACACGGGAAACTCCATACTAAAATTTACAGACAAAAGGGACAATTTTTCGTTCCCGATTGTTAATTTTCCCTTTTTGGATGGTGATATTCCTTTGTCACCATCTTACGGTGTTTATATTTCACAACTCGTTCGCTATGCCCGTGTCTGATGTGACGTTTGTGATTTTAACGAACGTAATCTATATATTACTGGTAAATTATTAAGCCAGGGATTACGTTACCACAAATTACTTAAAACCTTTACTAAATTCTTCCACAGATATAAAGATTTGGTTTTGAAGTTTGGTTGTACATGTAGAAAACTTATTTCAAACGGGATTGCACATCCTCATTTTTACGGCAATATTATTTACCGTGCCCGGAAATTTAGAAACGATCCTGGTAAACTTATAGATCCTTTAAATAAACTTATTCTAAAAGATTACCAATTCAACACTGTAATTAGATCATTAAATATTGTTTTTATTGGTACTAATATTGATTTTGTTATCAGTAAATTAAAAGCAAACTCAATATTATTGTTATATACATATACACATTCATGGATCTACAATCTGTCGATACCTGTATCTTGGCATTGCACAAGGTCATGTTTTTCTCTGACTGTTTATGACGTCTTTACACTAAATCCATTGGATGTTGGATGTGTACGGATTGATAATTTAGTCTTAGATGCATGATTTTTTTTATTAGTTGTTAGTGGCTTTGAACTAGCTGTCAGTAACTGCGAGTACTCTCAGATCTGTACTTAGTGTCTTTTTGTTGTTTGGATGTACAAGTACCCGCCCACGTCCACTTGTATTTGTATTATTTGTATTTTTATCCATCTGATGAGTTAACTTAAACCTCTTTCAACTGATTTTTATAGTTCGTTCTTATGCTGTACTGTTACACCACTGTCCCAGGTTAGGGGAGGGTTGGGATCCCGCTAACATGTTTAACCCCGCCACATTCTGTATGTATGTGCCTGTCCCAAGTCAGGAGCCTGTAATTCAGTGGTTGTCGTTTGTTTATATGTTTCATATTTGTTATTCGTTCATTTTTTGTGCATAAATTAGGCCGTTAGGTTTTTCGTTTGAATTGTTTTACATTGTCATTTCGGGGCCTTTTATAGCTGACTGTGCGGTATGGGCTTTGCTCATTGTTGAAGGCCGTACGGTGACCTATAGTTGTTAATTTCTGCGTCATTTGGTCTCTTGTGGAGAGTAGTCTCATTGGCAGTCATACCACATCTTCTATTTTATATTATGTACTGTGGTTTATTTATAATTTTCATATTGAATATAACTGAAAAACGAAGCATTGAACATAAACAATATGCTAAGCCACAAGTGTGGTAAACACTAAATCGTTAGTTGTAACAAAAGGATAAAAGTTTTTCAAATGAGGCGAAAGATACCGAAGGGATATTTAAACTCATAAGTCGATGTCATGGCAACAAAACGAAAGAACAAACAACAGTACACAAAATACAACATAGAAAACTGAAGACTGAGCAACACGAACCCCACAAAAACCGGGGGTGATCTCATTTTTAAGATGGAAGAAAGGGCACATGAACATATAGCGGGTTTAATTTTGTTAGCAGAAACCGTGACGTACCTTTTTCGATATCGATTTTTTTTCTTTTCTTTTACCATGCAACGAGTTAACCCCATATAAGACACTGGAAATATATTTAACACTCTGAAATCAACGATGAATAAAACGAGTTAATTTGAACAGATATAGTTACGACTTGGGTAGATATGTCAAACGAAGGTGTCTAAAAATCATAATTCGATATATTTTAATTGATAATGTAATTTATATCACAGTTTACTAAGTTGCCATTATTATAATTTCTTTATATCACATGTCACCGCTGAAAATATTCCAGGTACCCTCCACGTTTTCAGAGTTCCAAATTATTGTCTCTCTCTTAGAAACACTCGATTCTTCAAATGTCCTTTCTTCCTGTAATAAATGCAATCAATAGAAGTAAACCGGAAACGACATGTACTGCACCACTAACTGTCACCATAACAAACGACCATGCTAATCCCTCTTTTATTATGGCACCATATATCATAATAGAGAGAAATGTACTTCCAGCTGAAATGAAAAAAAAACACAATTTAAGTATGTTGTCTGGAAAGTGTAGTTAACCATATTATAAATTTTGAAATTTTTCGGAGTTCAGCAAATATTTAGATTAGTTTTAACAATAAACTGTTGACATATAGATATGTCTCGCCTGTCGGCATAAAATTCAGAAAGAGACAATCTGATGGACAGTAACATTGCTAATTAATTCAAAGTTGCTAGACCAACTAGTGGGTAGGGCCTCGAAATGGTTGACAAACTGAGATGTACAGACAGCAATGTAACTTTATAGAAAATATTGTCTATTGTAAGTAGTTCCTATCAAACTAACTTAATCAGAAAACTTAACATTGAAAGTTGTAAACTGATTGAAAGTCACTGGACCATGACCTAGGAGGCAGGGCCTTGAAATAGTCGTTAAACTGATATGTACTGATAGTAATACAACTTTATAGAAAATATCATTGATCTATCGCAAGTAGTTCATATCAAACTAACTTAAGCAGAAAACTTTGCTAATTAATTGAAAGTCACTGGACCATGGCCTAGGGGGCAGGGCCACAAAATAGTCGTCAACCTGATATGTACTGATAAGAATGCAACTTCACACAAAATATCATTGATCTATCACCAGTAGTTCCTATCAAACTAACTTAAGCAAAAAACTTAACATGTAAAATTGTTAATTAATTCAAAGTCACTGGACCATGGCCTAGGGGGCAGGGCCTCAAAATTGTCGTCAAACTTATATGTACTGACTGTAATGCATCTTCATACAATATATCATTGATCGAAACTAACTTAAGTATGTATTCTTCTGAAGTTTCAGTCTCGTTGAAATCTCGTTCGGGAATTATTTCCAAAACATGTGATACAAGTGGAAAATATTAATGAATATAAAAAATATCATAATCAAACTAAATTCTGTGAAAAAAATTGTGTACTTACAATAAGTAGTTTTTGAGTAATAAAATTTTCAAATTGTATCACCAATCTGGTAAGTGTCATCAGCCAAAATGTTGAGAAAATAGGTAAGGGTACAAAGAAATGATTTTTCCAAAGATATGTACATCCCAGATCAATTTTTTTTCTTTTCAAATTCTTAGATATGTATTTTTTCAATCATTTTTAACAAAGAAGTTGAAATAATATGCTTTTTGTTCTAAAAAAAAGAGAAAAATCCAGAATTTACAAAATTGACAGCATGGTCAATTTGACACGACAAAGGAACAACATTTTATAAAACTTTCGAATATTAACACCAACCTATAGTTTTTTTAGTTAAATTTATTCAGATTGGTCCACTTCATCTTTAGTGAAAGTATGAAAAAAATTTTAATTGTGAAATTGTGATTTTTTCATGATAATAGCCCAAAAATGTGTAAAAAATGATGAAAAATGGAAAAATCATAAAAAAGGGGTACTTTCAAATGGCCGTAGCAAAAGAAGTGCACCACCATGTGATTTTTTCTTCTTTCTTACGGTCATATAAACCAAATAATCAGGTTAAGAAAAAAAGTTCAATTCTAGAAATTTTTGGATCCTCAGAGGTGTACATCCTTAAGTAGAAAACTTAATAATTGTTGATGCCGTCGCCGCAACCGTAGGGTTGAAAATTACGTTGATTTAACTCGTAAACTTGTAAAAAACTGGACATTTAAATCTTTACATAATAGTATATGAATCTCAATCTTAATTTATTGCCAGATCACCTGAGATGATTCCCGGCTTTTTTGTGGGGTTCGTGTTGCTCAGTCTTTTTTATTTTTCCAAGTTGTATTTTGTAGACGTTTGTCTTTTGGTCGTTTTTCGTTTTTTTTTTTTTTTTTTTTTTTTGTCATGGGTTTGAAGATCTCTTTGATATCTTCAGCTTCTCTTTTACTCATTTCAATACTAAACTTCATAAACTCTCGGTTATTGTCTGCGTGTCGACTAAATATCCTTTTCCAGTTTCCTTTGGGTGATTCTGGGGTTCGTTTTTCTATTAATGTGCATTTTACTATCCATATCCGTATACAAAAAAAAGTCGCCATTTTTAATTTCCCACCCTTCTTTATTAAACAAAGAAAAATATTAAAATATATTTCTATGTGACCTATTTCCATTCTCAATTTTATATACCTTACAAAGACACTCATTTTCTTCCTAAATGATTTTACCATCATGCATAGGTTTTCCGATCTTTGACACCCTTATACTTGGCTATCGTTTCATTCAGCTAACAAAAAATCAAATTCCCCGACGATTCTTACGTCCCATTCGGAAACTTTCAGTAACTGTTGAATACATTTTGTCCCTGTGGGTATGATTATACATTTGTACTTATGTGAAGCAATGGCACGATCATGTGATTATACGTATGTGAAACAATGGCACGATCATGTGATTATAATTATGTGAAACAATGGCACGATCATGTGATTATACTTATGTGAAGCTATGGCACGATCATGTGATAATACTTGTGTGAAGCAATGGCACGATCATGTGATTATACTTATGTGAACCTCTGGCACGATCATGTGATTATAATTATGTGAAACAATGGCACGATCATGTGATAATACTTGTGTGAAGCAATGGGACGATCATGTGATTATACTTATGTGAACCTCTGGCACGATCCTGTGATTATAATTATGTGAAACAATGGCACGATCATGTGATTATACTTATGTGAAGCAATGGCACGATCATGTGATTATACTTATGTGAAGCTATGGCACGATCATGTGATAATACTTGTGTGAAGCAATAAAACGATCATGTGATTATACTCATGTAGAGCTATGGCACGATCATGTGATTATACTTGTGTGAAGCAATGGCACGATCATGTGATTATACTTATGTGAAGCTATAATGGCACGATCATGTGATAATACATGTGTGAAGCAATAGAACGATCATGTGATAATACTCATGTGGAGCTATGGCACTATCATGTGGTAATACTTGTGTGAAGCAATAGAACGATCATGTGATTATACTCATGTGAAGCTATGGCACGATCATGTGATAATACTTGTGTGAAGCAATAGAACGATCATGTGATTATACTCATGTGAAGCAATGGCACGATCATGTGCTTATACTTATGTGAAGCAATGCACGATCATGTGATTATACTTATGTGAAGCAATGGCACGATCATGTGATAATTCTTATGTGAAGCAATGGCACGATCATTTGATTATACTCACGTGGAGCAATGGCACGATAATGTGATAATACTTATGTGAAGCATTGGCACGATCATGTGATTATACTCACGTGGAGCAAAAGCACGATCATGTGATAATACTTATGTGAAGCAATGGCACGATCATGTGAAATAAAATCAATGCAATATTATAATAGATGGTATATACTGTACTTACTAACAATAAACGAGGCTATTGCCGAGGTCAGATATAGATATTTATTCGCTGATAGTTTCTCTATAAGCATAAACAATGTGAGTGATACGGTCGCTATAAAGGATGACAAAACACCAAGGCAGGCGAAAAATCTCACTGCTTGCATCCAATCTGAAAATATAAAATGTGGATATTCAAAATGGTGTTGTATCATTGCTGGTATGTTAACACAATTGTTCATCTACACCGTTGACTAACGTAGACTGCCAGATGCAACATCATCATTTTAAAGGACGGCCATTTGATATTCGAGAGGGGACAGAATATATTGTTCTGACGGAATATTCATCTTTATTTTTTGCGAGTTTCGCTAAAAAAAATTTCTTCACTTTTGTACACATTTATATCCTGCATTTCGTTGGTCAAAATATTCATTTTCAACCTGGGTTTTATTTTTGGAAAGGTTAATTTGTTCAGTCTAAAGCAGATCAGGTTATTTAGTATACACCTTATCGCTATTTGTCCGCCATTACTGGACATCACACAGGTTCCCGTAAAATTTTGACGTCATAATACAAAATATCTGACGCCACAATGGAAAAGTGATTGTTGTATGACGTCAATAGTTCAAGCGGGACAGATTCTCGGGTCAGCCGGGAATAGCGATAAGGTGTATTGGAAATGGTCGTCCCCTTACCCATAAAACACGAATTATTTTAATTAATTGTGATAAAATAATATTACCCATAACGAAGTGTAAATATTACGATGTGTAGTGCTCATGAATAGTTTTCAAACTGTCAAAACAATTGTATAGGACCCTAGATTTTTTGAATGACTACTACTGTTATAAACTAGTTGCTCCATATTTGAAGAAAAAAAATTGCAACCGTTGGATTAAGAAAATCAAAATTACCCCAAGACGGATACTTTATATTATATATAGGAGCCTAACTAAGATCTATATATTATGATTGTTTGCCTTTTGTTATAGTTTATATAGTCTGTGGGTAAATAAAATCTTGTATTTTGAAACTAAGATTAGAAATATTTCATGTAGATTGGGATAAGATTCTCGTTTTTCTTTCTTCTTCATTTTTTTTTTAAGTATAACTCTTTTTATCAAACTTATTTTGTAATTCAATTTTCATTTCGTTGCAGTATGCGTATAGGACACCACAAAACCAATTACTTGGTGTCTCATAACGTTGTCTTATACATAATATAAAAAATTAAATGCTCCTTTCGAGAACTTTCAATAAAAATTAAAAAGTCGCTTCTTCTATGTCGACTCATATATATGTATAAAGATTGAAATAGGTTAGGGGGGGTTGAGCGCTCACAAACATGTTGACCGTACTTTGACCTATAATGGTTTACTTTTACAAATTGTGACTTGGATGGAGAGTTGTCTCATTGGCACTCATATCACATCTTCTTATATCTATTAACCACGCCAAATTCTTTATGTGCCTGTCCCAAGTCAGAAGCCTGTAGTTCAGTGGTTGTCGTTGGTCCATGTTTGTCATATTTGTTTTTCGTAAATTCTTTTGTTATAAATCAGGCCGTTAGTTTTCTCAATTGAATTGTTTCATATTTTTCATGTCGGGGCCTTTTATAGCCGACTATACGGTATGGTTTTTTTTTCATTGTTGAAGGCCGTTTGTTTGCCTATAATTGCTTACATCCACTTCATTTGAAAGGGGCATTAGCTGTCAAATTTATGATCACTGATTTGACTCAAATTCTCATATTTGATTTAAAACATACTAAAACGTATATCCAAATTAAAAAAAGTCTAAAATAAACAATTAATAATGGATGGACTCGATAATATGTATCAAGATTTCGTGTGTATTTTTGTCTATACGTCATCTAATTAACCATCGAGATGACCTCCGAAGACTGACGACGGTCATAATTATAACCCGATATAAATATGAACAGATAGTATCCACGTGCAATTGGATTATATCTAGGTCTGTTTGATTTCAAATTGTAGGTTAAAAGTATGTTTATCATCGATTTTATCCGTATAAGAAAGATTTTTTTTTGGATCGAATCAGTCCACCAAATGGTTCATCCTTGCTTCACTTTCAATGTTGATATTCTTTTCCTTTTAATAGCTGAATACATGCGTAGCCCATCTCCAGCTAAGGATTCAATTAAAGGTCACATGAATACGGATTCAATGAGGTCGAATTATTCACTTGCAATTGAATAATTCATCAGCGATGTTTTTTAGTTTATTTTGACAAAATTGAACCAAATTGGCTGCTAAAAGCGAATTATTATTTCACTCTATCACTTTCATTAATGATTGAAAAAAAATCATATTTAAAATTTTTGTATATCTCGTAGCTATTGCCCCTTTAACTTTGGTGGATAGTTGTCTCATTGGCAATCATACCACATCTCTTTATTTTTATATTTATACTGTAATTGGTTAGATACTGACAAAATAAAAACCAACTCAATGAGATTTACCTATCGATCAAAGTCTGCAGGTTTGACGCCTGAATAAAACGTTAATTTACAACTCAGTTACATGACAATTTAAACACATTTACGTTAATAAAAAAAATTAAATTGATGTAAATTGATCAAATAAACCAGTTTTAGTTTAATGACCTAGAAAAATTACAATAGATGTTTAACATTCAATTATCCTCGTTTTCTTACGTTATTTCACGAGAAAGAGGCTCTCATGCTTTTCTCAAAAAGACTCTTCGGTACCATAAGCTCAGTAGTCAGTCACTGTGCTTCGGTATTGACATGGTTTATAACACACCTTTCTTATAATATCTGTTGCAACTGTTATGAAGTTCAAACTTCCTCACTCAATTCCTTTTGCTCATATAGCTCTTCCCGTTTTTCATTACTTATATCTTTTGCTTTAAGGATGTATTCTTCCGACGTTTAAGTCTCGTTGAAATCTACTTCTGGAATTGTTTCCAAAACATGTGATACAAGTGGGAAATAGCAATGAATTTAATAAATATCATAATCAAACTTAACTCTGTGAAAAAATTGTGTATTTACAATAAGTAGTTTTTGAGTAATACATTTTTCAAATTTTATTACCAATCGAGTCAGTCTTTTTAGCCAAAATTTTGAGAAAATTGGTGAGGGGTACAAGAAATGATTTTAACAGAAACATGTACATCCCATATCACTTTTGTCAATTCAAATTTCTTAGATATGTATTTTTTCAATTATTTATAACAAAGAAGTTGAAATAATATGCATTTTGTTCTTAAAACAGAGAAAAATCAATTATTTAAAAAATTGACAGCATGGTAAAATTGACACGAAAATGCATCGAAATATGATAAAACTTTCTTATATCAACACCTACCTATAGTTTTTTTTAGGTTAAATTTATTCAGATTGGTCCACTTTATTGAAAGTATGAAAAAATGTTTAATTGTGGAACTGTGATTTCTTTCACGATAATAGCCCAAAAATGGGTAAGAAATGACGAAAAATGGGAAAATCATCAAAATTGGGTACTTTAAAGGGCCGTAGCAAAAAAAGAAGTGCACCACCATATCATTTTTTCTTCACCAATTATTTTTTTACAGTCATATAAACCCAAAAATCAGGTAAAGAAAAAAAGTTTAATTCTAGAAATTTTTGGCTCCTCAGAGGTGCGCATCCTTAAGCGTTACAAGCGCTCCGGACGCATACTATTTATAAAGTGTTATTTTTCATTCGATAAGGACGTTGATGCACCCACCTAACGTACAGTTATAGTTGGTTTTCTCATTTGAATTGGTTTACATTTTGTTACGTCGCGGCCTTTCATCGCTTGCTATGCGGTATGGGTTTTGGTCATTGTTGAAGGCCGCACGTCATCCTATAATTGCTAACATCTATGTCATATGGTTTCTGGTGGATAGTTGTTTCATTGGCAATCATACCACACCTTCTAATTTTACATAGTAATAAGTGTAATTGCACTCAATATTCGAACGGATACTGGTTGTAAAACGTGCCACATGCACAAGAAGATTGAAAACCTGGAAGAATACCACTCAGTTGGACAGGAACTACTTAGTTGTGGGTGAAGTGTATTGTAATGTTTATTGGTCGTTATGGTTACAAACAAGAAGAACCTTGTATCAATACATGTTTCACGCAGAAGGAAGCGTTGGGTCGATTTAGACGTTTGGCGGGAAAGTCAGTGGTTGGGTCCAAGGGTAAGGGGTGTTTGAGAGGGATTCTTGTGTTCGGTATCGGGAACATTTAGAGAACACCCCTATCCAGTAAATATTGTATTCACCCTGGGGTATATAAGCGGGTGAGGATTACAATTCGGGTTCTGTCGATATTTAGGTACAAGTTGGTCTGACATAGGAAGTTGGCAGAGCAGACTGTCCCATACGGAGGACGGACTGCAATAATATAACCCGCACTGTCTTGTAGTGACAGACTGTCCCACTCGGAGGACAGCTGTACCAGCAGCACTGTCTGGTATCGACAGACTGTACCAGCCACACTGTCTTGTAGTGACAGACCGTCCCATCTGGAGGACAGGCTGTAAGATTGTATTATATTTGTATATATACACATATATATATATAATTGTTAGTCGTTACCTTATATCGGCAAAGAGCCCGTGTGTATATTTTATTATATATATATAGTTCATTGTGTATAACATAGATAGTTAATAGTATTGCCGTATTGTTTATGGACAGCTTGAATCCAAGTATTTACTGGAACGGACGTTTAAGATATAAACGCCTGGTTACACGTTACATATTTGGTGGCTAGCGGTTGGGATTCAAGTTGTCTATCAAATACTATTTGATTGATTGATTGATCGTCATTAAATTTATTGTCAGTTGACATCAGTGTTTATTTAAAAGATTAAAGCAGATCATCCGTGAGGCATAGTTGTAGTTCACGGCTGAGTTGTAACACGAGTGTATTATTTAATAAAAGATTATAACACTATAATTGTTTTATTTGAAGTGCACTATACTGCAATGGAAATGTTAAATATTGACGATCAGATTGCTGAAATAAGTAGACAAATACAGTCTCTTAGTGAAAGCACAATACAACATGGACAAAGTTTTATATATTCCACACCTCGAGATCAGGGTGTACGTCCAAAGGTTGTTGAAAACAAAGAACATGATTCAGGCGTAGTGACGACAGGG